GAGGCACACCCACTACTCAGAGCTGGTGTCAGCAACTTTTTTGGCGTTGGTCCATCGAATACATATTCATTGTTTGGAGGGAACCCAAACGTAGACTAGGTGACTAATTAGGTTCCAGGGGTACATACTTTGGTCGTTTACACGGGCTTCATTCTGCGAGGCTCCGGCCGCGCATTGGGGAGGTGTTCACACAATGTGAAGAGCACGAGCCGGGTCCAGGGTGCCGATCCGAACAGCCCCAGCACTCCTCTAAAGCCATAGATCTCGAAGCCCCTGAGCCTCCCTACGCCTAGGCGAGACTCCTTTGCCCGGCGGGGCCAAGAAGAAGCGAGCTCGATGGGCTGCGACCTCACCTTTCCCCTGCCCCCTCTCCCCCCAAAAACCCCCGCCACTCCGTAGACGTGGGCTGCAGAGTGGGGTTTGTGATGTGGGCTCGATTGGTGATTGGGCTCGGTTAGGCTTTCAAGGGCTTCGTAGTCGTAGTACATACTATTTGGGTACGTGGACCTTAAGGGAACGTACGGTGAGGTCCCTTCGGCCTGAGTCGCTGTGGCTAGTCGGTTGAACATGTGCAGCCTCAACACCTGGTATCTCCGTACCCCTACACCGCAGATTTGGGCCTAGGATTGGGATGTATATATGAAACTACTACAGGCTAGTATCCACCCAGACGCAGTTTTCCAAGTGCTGTTGAATTCAATATAGGGGCCTAAGTAATTACCAATACTATTTTGGGGGTTCCTTACTATAATTATAGTATAATGGGCCCCAAAACCCTGTTCTAATTATTAAGGCCCCTATTTTACTTCCTTTTCGGCCACATAGCCAGCTTGGGGGCTGCAGTCCTAGATTTCGGTTGCAGAACCACACGTGCTTTCTGCGATTGAACTGGCTAAATCTACAAGGGCATGCTCTGCGACCATGCATGCTTAGACCCCCCGCCCCCCAAAAAGGCTATTATCAATCAAGCATGTCCCTTTTGAGCTGACAAAGGTCGAACCGAAGCACTACGCGCCCCCTAAGTGCTGGATTAGGCCCCCCTACAGAGCCTCAAGACTTCGAAGCCTGCCGAAAAATGCGAGGACTCCGCACCGAAGGAGGACGAGGTCGGCGCCACACCGACTGCGGACGCCACCCCCAGCGTCGATGTGACACCCAGCCGCTCGGCCATTTAAGACTCTTTCGTTGTCACTTAGGGTTAGGGGCTCGGAGGAAGGAATCAGAAGCGACAGTTTAACACCGGAAGGGTCAAGAGGAAGATGATCGTCGTCGACGCCGCCACCGCCGTCGTCGTCGTGTGGCCGTGGTGGCCGTCGTCTTCGTCGTTGTCGTCGTCGCAGTTTTAGTAGATTGGGTGGTGGGGATGGTGCTCGTCGTCGTCGGCCTCCTGGTCGTTCTTGTCCTCCTCGTTCTCGTCCCCCCCGTCCTCGTCGTCGTCGTAGTGTACCCGTGGGCGAAGGAGGAGGAAGAATGGGAAGAAGAACATGCTCATCAGTGTTTGTAGCAGTTTGGAGTCGGTTCTGATGGTGGTGGTGATCGTCGTCGTCACCGTCGTTGAAGTGGCAATTGCAGTAGTGAGGTAGTGATGGATCTTACTAGCAGCGGCCACCGTCGCAGCTGTAGCAAGAGTCCCACTAACGACCAGTACTACGTATGGCTGCCAGCAGATATCTCCGAGTTGCATGCTAAAGTTAAATCATACCTCCTTCGTCGCTGAAGCTGGGGTTCCATAAGAGGGATCTTTAATAGGAAACGGTATTTGGGAACCCTAATAATAATAGGGATCTCTATTTGGGGCCTTTCATGCTGGAGGTTTCTTCTCCTCAGGAGAGCTCCGGAGGGCCCCGACACGAAATCTGACTTTCTTTGGGGGTCGTGCCGTCATATGAGTCTGAAAACCTGCATGAACCCCATATCCACAACGTTGCCTGAATCCAAATGAAGAGGGTCCTATGCCCTATGCTTTATTCCCCAAACCCTTAACCGATTCCCAGGCCCAACCCTGCTTGGAGGTTCCTGGGTAGTCATGAGCAGGGTTATATGTAGGATAACTCCCATATTAGGGGACTTATGCAACCCTACTTATTATAACTCTCCATGAACCTCCAAGTAGAAGCCCATCACTGCGAGTGCCAGGCGTGGACGTCACGCCCAGCGCTTCGATGCCAGACATAGGCCCTCCGTATGTGGGTACAGAGTGGGTGTTTACAAGGGTTATTTGACACGTTTCGTTTATAGGCTTTCTTTTAAAGAACCATTCAGAAATTCAGGTTTTAGGGCTCCGGACCTCTGTCAGATCTCTTGTCAGAGTACTTGCTTGGTTTAGGGCCACGAGTGCAACAATGGGACATATGTGATCGCAGCACTGTTGGTCACACTACTCAGGAAGAGCAGCAGTCTGTTGGTCACAATACTCAGGAAGAGCAGCAGTCAGCGTCAGAACCACCAACTTCTGAAAGGTTCGCAACTAGAGTTACTAGAAGCAAGAACCGTAATGAGTAGTTACGGTACAACTAGAAGAGTTGACCCTAAACCTTGGATACTGCCCCCACTCAGTAACAGTTGGATAATATTAGAATTTAGATATATTAGGCCCTTAATAGTGGCGCTATTGTAGACTGTTAGTGCATGGGGGCAGTATCCAACCTAAACCCGTCTTCCATAGCCAGTGTCACCCCCTAAACCCTAAACCCTAAACCCTAAACCCTAAACCCGCAAGGTGCCACGCCCTTTGCAGGCGGCATTGGCATGATGACGCCAGGAGACACACCGCCGGGGCACACAGAAGAGAGGGCTTGGAGTGAGGTTCGGGCTTAATGTAGGAGCCTAAATAATTGCTGACACTATTTTGAGGGTTCCTCATTATAAGTATAGTATAATTTTATTCCCCGCATATTAGGCATTGAGGGCGGGTGGAGATTACAATGTTCTAGATGGTCGCGAAAACCATAAGACCTACACTTAGCGAAACCCAGGTATTGTCGTTGGCGGACAGCTTTATGGCATCGTGTTTCGACTGTAGGCCGGAGGGTTTGATGGCATTTGATGTTTACAATTACGGTAGGGTTTTGGTGGAGTTTTAGTCTGGAGAACTTGACATTGAGGGTTGTGGCCTGGGGTTCAGTTCAGAGCTTGGCGTTTCGGATTCCGGTGTTTAAAGGTTTCGGGGTTCGGGGATTACGTACGCCCGAAGCAACCCTGAACCCGAAACGCTGAACTGGCATGGTGCAGGATTTAAGGTTTAGGGCCTGGGGTTTAGGTCTTCCTTCAACAAGGAACGCTGTTCATATCACCCTGGAGCCCGCCCCGGTAGACACGTTCCGGAACTCCTAGCTACTCAATCATTCCCGTTTTGGCCGGGAAATGCGAACATCACCATCAAATACTTATCAATAGCCACGGCTCACCACTCATTCGCGAAGCTGTATGTTGCCTGCCACATCGACCAGAAGTAGTTTTGCAATGTTTTGCAGATGTCCTGAACCCTACGCCTTTAATCCCAAACCCGAATCCCTCAACCCTAAATCCCAAAGCCTGAACCCCAAAAGCTCTTGTAGATACTCTCAGCCAGGGCTTGGCCCCTGAAAAATGTCACCAACGTATCCACGTATCGAATCATTGAGGCTCGGAACACCTGGCATGGCGAATCTGGGGACTCCCGCCGCTGGCCTCACTCGGGGGTTTAAACGCCGTAAGGGTGCCGGGTTCAGAGTGTTTAGAAAATCTGAGGTTTAGGGGGTTCAGGGTTTACACAAGCTTCGGGAAGGCTTTGAGCGGTTCAAAAAGCCGTCATGCAGAGGGTGCTCAGAGGACTCGTTTCTCCAGCCCTTAGGGTGTTTGAGCTTCTCGCAACTCTACTTGGAGGATCATGGGACTTAGTAACTGGGATTATTACTAGGGTAGCTACACTTATAGTTGCTTATAACTCCGATTAAGGTATTTATAACCGTACTTACTAAGTCCCGCGATCCTTTAAGTAACTGTAGCTGCTTGATGGGTCTCCGGCCTGCAGCCCTCCCAGGCGCCCCTAAAGGCACCATGTACTCTAGAGGCCTAAACATTTTCGCAATATTATCTTGGGGTTCCTTATTAAATTTGTAGAAAAATGGGCCCCCAAACCCTATCCTAATTATTTAAGGCCCCTATACTAGCATCTTAGAATTGCCCTCGCGGTCATGGTGTTTTACTGTAAGGCTTCGGGATGAGGCCATGCTGCAAGCTTGCTAGAGTGCCCGAGTCGGTTGGAACTGAACGCCTCTACAGTAAAAGCCAGAAAGTTGGAATATCATTATCCTAAACCCTTTATGGTAAATTACAAGGGGATCCTACCATTAATCCATATTCCAACTTTCTGGAGCTCCCTTTAGTTCGAGACGCTTGATGGCCCGGAGACTGAGGGCTAAGGCTACGTAGGATCTGCGGCTTAGGGGGCTTGGGTTTCAAGGACTTCGACCGGGATTGAGGGCTTAAGATCGAGAGTCCCGCGGCTTGAAGTTTGAGCATCGGAAGTTAGAGGCACAGGCTTGGAGTTTTGGGCAGCTTTTTGTCTTCAAGTCCCAGAGACTGAATCGAAATTGACGGAAGCTACTATGCGTAGGTGTTTGTCTACGTCTATGTCGATGTGCCCTGAATTAAGTATCCTCCATGTCGCCTGAGTCTATGGCTGTGTCTATGTCGATGCACATGCATGTGCATGTGCAACTACAGCTGCATATGCTGTAAGTTTCTATACTTCGGCATAGCTGGGACCTTTTCCGCAGGTCAATGTTGTTGCCAACATGTTTACTACAAGGTTGAATGCCCCTCTTTCGACAACTCTGGACGCAAAGCTGTGCTCACCAGAGCCCCATCCGAGCACTTTGAAAGCCACAGGCCCTAAAGCCTCAACCTCAACATGCCAAAGCCCGAACCCAACCCTTCCCCGAACCCGAATGTCTAATGAATTACACCTCAACCCTAATGGAAAAGACGAGGTCGGTCTTACCCCAAACTTTGCTGCCATGACGCCGGAGCAGATCCAGGTGGATTTGGTGTTCAGATTTGGGGGGTTGAGGTTTGGGGCTTATAGTACGATGTAGACGTCTTGGGACTATAGAAAGGGGCTTATAGAATTAAGTACGAATTCTGCAGACCCCTATGGTATACCGTATTGTGTAAGATTTGGGTCAAGGGTTCGTGGTTTAAGACACTGGCACTCAGAACTCGATGATGGCTGGGGAGGTTTACATAGAGCATAAGGGGCATCTCTGTTAGGGTTCCGTATAATCATGAGAAGCATGCTCATCGTCATCATCATAACGACAAGACTAGAACTAGATAGCATGAAAAACAGCATAAGGAGACAAATAGTGATAACAAAGTAATCACAAGGAGGCTTTCTAGCTAGAGGATCACAGTTCGCAGGGGACGGAGTGTCTGGCTGTGGATAGTTCGACTGACAGTAACTTCCCGCTGTCATGTTAGGGTTTCGGTGTGTGTTTACCCATACGTTTAGAGCTTCAGGGTTTACCTGGAGGTTCAAGGGTAGTTATAAGTAGGGTCATATGTCCCCTAATATGGGTTATAAGTATAGCTATCCTACTTAATCATATCTACCCGTGAACCCCCAAGTGATTTTGGGTTGGGCTGAAGGTTTCAAGTTACCCCTGCTCGCAAGCCACCGACCCAATGCTGCGGTCGCTGACCGAGTCGTTCCTGGATTTCGGAAGGGAATCGCTTAATATAGGAGCCTAAATAAATACCAATACTATTTTTTGGGGTTTCCTTATCATAAATATAGTGCAATGGATCCCAAAACCCTACCTATATTGGGTTAGGGCTTCTTTGTACTCAATAACCCTAATGGTCTATGTGCCCAAGCGTATATACTTCGGCCTTCAAGGTGGTCCCATGTGCATTTACAAGTAGGGGTACATGCAACGTACATGTAGCTGTTACTACATATAGCTGATAGCTCCACTTTCAGCCCACGAACCTTCAAGAAAGCTTTGTGAGTTCGGGCAGTTGCTCCGAATGCATGTCTTGGACTGGTGGGTCTGCTGCTACTCGACAGGCTTACCGGTACGACGCCGAGGTTAACGAGCGCAACGCACCCATGTCGGATGAGGACACGCGAAGCGGCTTCTACAGTTTCACAGAACGGCGTAAACGATGATCCAAGGGATTTTCGAGTCGAAGGATTCTGGGGCTCGGTTTAGGATTGAGGGTCTACATATACATCTTCTGCATTTGGGGGCTCTTTCGGGCTGATGTGACGAGGGTTGCATCGGTCTCATGAGAGGCGGCTGAGGGATATAATCACCCTAAACCCCAAGCCCTGAACAATCAACCGTGCTTGAAAATCTTCAAAGGCCAGAGCCTTGGAGCATGACTTTCTTATCGCAAGTGCATGAAACATGTCACACTATAACGGTTCCTGTCGGGCTTCCGGCAAGGGTTCCCACAACCTGAAAGGTCCACGAGGCTCTAAGAGGCCCTTGGTAGGGTTCGGATTCGAGAGCTCCGGGATCAGTGTGCGTGCATGGGAGGGCGGGTGGATGCATGGATGGGTGGGTTGGGTGAGCGCTTACCGAAGGACTTCGACATCAAAGTGCCGGTGCATAAACCCTACACCTGACTCATCAGAATCAGGTCGGACGAACAAAAAGTCCGTAACTAGCTCCCGTGGGGACGTCAACAGTCAGAAAAAGCTTGCAACCAGCCCGCGGTAGAATTCGAACGAAGCTAGATTCAGTCCAGTTGACGTTCGAAGTGCCGACCCTAAACCCTAAACCCTAAACCCTAAACCCTAAACCCTAAACCGACGTAAATCCTGAAACCCTGAAGCTTGGCCGTTAACACCGCCTGGTCCTATGGAGCCTATGCCCTGGCAGCCCCCTTCAAGATTTAGGGTTTAGGGTTTAGGGTTTAGGGTTCAGGGTTTAGGGTTTAGGGTTTAGGGCTACAAGAGCTGATAACCCTTCTATGCTCTTATATAATCCAGTAAACTCTTAAAACCTTAAAAGAAGTAACCCTGCGGCAAGGAGTTGGATGCCATCTTCCCGCAGACTGGCTACGAAATCGTCAGGTGAGACCCAGCTTGCTGGGCTGAAGAGGTTTCATTTTCATCTTTTGATGGGATGGGGTTCGGATTTGGGAAGGGCGGGTCCGCCGTTGGATGTCGCGTTTAGGATTCGGGGTATCAGTACATCTCACCACAGTACGAACATGCGAGGTAGCGTCTCTGTCAGTGCTTTGGTGATGTATGCAGCGCACACCGACGTGCTAGTGGTGTTGCGGTGTATCGACGTTATGCCAGGCAACACGAGTTGGCCGTAGCAATCACTGTGTTCCCGGCCCGGGCTACAGTGCATTACCATCCTAGCCCATCTTCCTATCATCTTCCTATCCTCCATGATACCTCGTTGTCGTCATGGCCATTCTCATATACTGCTTCTTTTACCGCCACCCCTATCATGATGATCTTCATCAGCATCGACATCATCAGCATCATCATCCAGGGCGCAGGGATGCCCGTTTCCCCAGCGTGCCATGACAGGCCACCTGCGAACTACAACCCCATCCGGAAATCTGCACCCCGGCTTCCATTCGGGGGCATTGGTGGTGCATGCGATCTGCTCTTTAAGAGTGGGGTACTTTAGGGGCTTAAATAAGTACCAACACATTTCTGGGGGTTCCTAATCATGAACATAGTATAATACACCCCAAAACCCTACTCTAATTATCAAGGCCCCTATATGACATGGGGTGTGGAGCTCTGGGTTTTTGTAGAGATCCAAACCCCAAACCCACACATCGGGTCACAGAGGCTTAGGCTTAAGACCTGTTGCGCGTCGAGAAGTTCGGTTCTTTCCGGGTGAAAAAAGTGTGGAGATGAGGGCAAGGATTTAGGTTGTATATTGGTATGTAAGATGTGTTTAGAGTTTAGGGTTCTTTCCGGGTGTAAGGTGTAGGGATGAGGGCAAGGATTCAGGTTTCGACTGTTACGTAAGATAGAGTTTAGGGTTTGGCGCCTGGGCCGGCCAGAATCACGCATCGCACGCCTTCAGTTTTTGCTGGAGCTTCTGGTTGTGGCGCTCCAGTCCTTGAGATATTTCCGGGTTCTCACAGCAATGTTGAACTCTCCAACATCGGAGAATATACACAAGACAAAGCCAGGAGCGGACACACCAACAACTGGATCCGAGACTAAAACGGGTATATAGTCATGAAAGCCTCTTGTACTTGTCATACCTACTAGGGCAACCTTTAGTATCAATACGCGACTCATGCAGGCCGATTGTAATTAGTCTTGATTTGCCCAGGTGCTTTCCTCGACGCCGACGCCCTGAGCTTACATCCACGCATGATGCCATCAGTTATGATTGGCTCCTGCGCAGGAATGATGATGACTAAATACTGGGCAATCCCCCTTAGAGTGAGCAGTTTCCCTAACCCAGTAGACTACTCATGAACGTTATAGCATTATAGCATAGTATACCTGTGAACCTTCTAACCGCCGTATCCCTACACCCCAGGCCCTAAACCCTGCACTGCCCTTTTAGGCCCACACCCACCGGCACGCCTTTCTTCTCCATGCAGAGTCCGGACGCACCGAAGCCGTCTGTGCCTAAGCAAGGGTCTAGGGTTTGAGGTTCAGGGTAGCCTAGAGAAGAGTACCGATCAAGCAGTTTTCATTCTAAAGATGTTGATCCAGGGATAGTCCTTAACCCTGGCCCTAAACCCTAAACCCGAGCCTAAACCCTCAACTAAGTGCCCCTATTTCTCAGAGGTTAGGGACTCGCAACGAGCGTTCCGGCAGCTTCTAGGGAAGAATTGGCCTTCGGAGCTTCGACTGCCGAACCTTTGTGCCCTAAGCTCAAAGCTCTTAACGAAGTTCTTTTTATAGCTCGTACTTAGTTCCTTTCTCGAGGTTTAACCATTCATGTATTTAGGATCCTAACTTCAGCCGTCTGCCTTATCTGTTGAATCCCGAAAGCCCCGAACATTTCTCCTTATATCGTAAAGACCCCGAAACTCCAGGCATCCCTTAACCTTCCCCTGCCCGAGCTTGTTTCCTTTTAATAGTAAAGAAACCGCAACCTAAGCATCCCTTCCCTTACGAAGAAACAGGAGCCCTCCATAAAATCGTTCCCGCAGGTACGAGGTCCCGGCATCTCCCGCAGTGGGCGACATGCCAATGATCAAGCCGGAGGACCGGTGATTGTTTGTCTAAGAGTTTAGGGCTCAGGGGTTTGGGTTGAAGTTTTAGGGCCTTAGGGTTTAGGGCTGGGGATTTGTTGTCTGAGGGTTGAGGGATGTTTTTGCGGACCTAGCGGAGTGTTTAGGGTTTCGTGTTGAGGGTCCAGAGTTTAGGACTTTCTTTCTCTAAAACCCTAAACCCTAAACCCTAAACCCTAAACCCTAAACCGTGGGTTTGGGGTTCAGGACCTTTGGGTTCAGGGTTTGGTATTTAGGGTTTCGGATTTGGGAGCTTCTTTGTCTGCGGGTTTAAGGCTTAGAGCCGAGCTTTAGGTTTAAGTGTTAGGGCCTTAGTGTTTACGGTCTAGGGCTCAGGGGTTTTGAGTTTAAGCTTTAGGGCCCTAGGGTTTGGGGTTTAGGGTTTAGTGTTTAGGGTTGGTTATTTAGGTCGACTGCTACGACTGCCGTTGCTGCTGCTACTACTGCTGCTATTTCTGCTACTACTGCGACTACTGCTGCTACTGCTACTGCAACTACTGCTGCTATTGCCGCAACTGCTGATAGTGCCGATACTGCTGCCGCTGCTACTGCTACTGCTGCTGCTACTGCTGCTGCTACTACAACTACTACGACGACGAAGACCACGACGACTGCTTGTAGATGTAGCCTCAGAGTCGTATCAGCATGTGTGCGCAGCGATGGTTCCTGGCAGGACTGCTTGTATTCCAAGGCCGATTAAAGCAGGGTGCCAGCCTAAGCCTACTTTAGTGTTTACAAGGCGTTTGGGACGACTTGCACGAAAGCAGAGGCTGCGTGCCCAGGAAGGGGCAGGTTCAATCATGAACCATGTTCGGGAAGCCAAGCGTCCTTAACCTAGAGGGACCTCGATTTTCAATGGGAGCCCCATTTAGGCCAACTTGAACAGGGAAAAGAAGGGTGCACCTGAACAGGACTACTCTTACTTCGCGCCTCTGCTTGCCGGCTGCTAGCTCAGTCGACACTTCTCGATGTCGCAGTGCTTTCTGTGTTTTTGGATGAAGTGTTGAGGCTTTTCGAACCCTAAATCCTAACCTTGAGGTTTTGGGAATCAGGGTTGAGTGGGGCCTCGGCTTGGGGACCTTGGGCGGGGGTTCTAGTGTTTGGGATTCAGGGTTGAAGGATGTGAATGCTGCCATTCTTGTGTCGCTACTGTTCACGTGTTCGTGGCCTGTGTCATGTCACGGTTAGTCTTCCTCGGTTCCCTGTTATCTGATCCAGCGTGTTTCCTGAGAAGGGTTTGGGTAGGGATGCTCATGTTATCATCCTTGAAAAGAGGCGTTTCACGGTCAGAGCTCTGACAAGTACACTCTGAATAAACAGAAACCATATCCACTCACATTTCTTAAACGTCCCTCGTTACACATGTAACATGTATCGTAGTTTACACTAAGACCTTCTGGACTTGTTAAAGACCCTACATGACATATTTTACTGTTAGTCTTATCGTTCCTGCATATCTCGAAAATTCTACATGTTACGCTGTAGGACGCTGGCTGGAGCTTTTCGCGCAATCCCAAATCTTAAACCTTCAAATCCAACCATAAAAGCCCCAAAGCCTGATCCGTTATGGAATGAATGAATGCTACTTTGGAGTTTTCGAAAATTGGGGGCCTACCTAATTTTGGCGGTTCCTTATATTAAGGATCCTACTATTAAGGGTACCATATTAGAGTCACCCCTTTTTTTCGGAAGCTCCCATTTGGCCTTGCTGCCTGAATCGCAAAGAGGTGACAACGACGACAACTTGTCGCCGGAGGAGGCGAAGGAGAGGAAGATCATGCGATTGCTGCTCAAGGCTTTGACCTCTGGGCCTCGGGATGTCTTAGGGGTACTTAGAGAAATAGTTTTTAACTTTTGGGTGATTATGACGATCCCTAAGAAACAGCTAAAATTCTAATTTTTGCTAGGGTTTTAAGTTCAGCATAGATGTCTCAGGGAATTCGGTAAGGGCGGTGATTGGTTGTTGTTTCATAACAGGTGAACCTAACGGTTTAACGGGCTTTTGGGTTTCAGGATTGTGGCTTCATTCTGGACTAGGGCTTACAGCATTGGGTTTGGGGGGCTGAATGTTCGGGGTTTACGGCTCATGGTTTGGCAGGCTTGGGATTTGGGTATCTGGGTTTAGACGTAGGGCTCAGGCTTCATGATGTAGAGTTCGGATGTGGGAAGACACAGACATGCGTAACCGTGCGGCGAAAGCCGTAATGGAACCCTTACAGACCAAACTCTAAACCCCAAACCCTATAAACCCTAAACCCTAAACACAAACCCTATAAGCCCCACACCCTAAGGCTCTAAACCCTCAAGCGCCCCGAGGTGAAGAACGGAACTCCTCCCATGCGGCGAGCGGCGCTTCGGCAGATCACGGACAGTGCTGGGCCCAGAAATGAACTTCCCGGAGCCGGTATCTATAAGGGTGCTATGTAATATAGGGGCCTTCAGAATTCGAATAGGTTTTGCGGCCCAGTATACTATAGATATAATAAGGACCCCCCCCAAAATAGTACAGTGGGCCCCTACATTAAGGCAGAGACCCCATAAGAGTTTTCATTTCAACCAGTATCGTGAGTTCATGGCAGTGTATGGTCTAGGCTTATGCCCAAGGGCGCTTTAAATTAGGTCCCTGAAGGTTTAGAAGGCGGGTTTTCGAAGGCTGTAGAAGCGGGGGATAAGGCTTTCCCAAGACCGGGGTATTGGGCTCCCTGAATTGGAAGTCTTCAAGCACGAACATGACCAAGGCAATTGGCCTTATCTTTACATCCTGGGCACTCGACCCCGCACGTAAACCTGAAGTCAAATCCCAAACTAATCCGGAGCGGCAATCTATGCGTGGGAAGTTTGATTCAGTCACGACGCATCGAGATTTTGGAACCCTCAGGCGAAACACCAGTAGCCAACCACCAAATCTCCACAAACTCGAAACCCTAATTTCAGGAGTTAGGGTTTGTTTCGCACATTTTTTGTTACGATTCCCTAGTTGAGCAACAGGAAAAGGGGTATCCCAATTGTTGACGAAAAACTGTGGACCCTAAACCCTACCCTAAACCCTAACCCTAAACCCTAGACCCCAGACCCTAGACCCTAGACCCTACCCTAGACCCTAAACCCTAAACCCTAAACCTTAAACCCCAAACCGTTTGCCCAAACCCTAAGACAAAATAAAGATCCGATGCCCGAAAAGCACCGGAGGTGCCCGAGCCTTCGGCCCTGGCCCCCTCTTCAACCAGATTCTGCCACTTCTGATGAGCCCGGGGCCCAGTCCTTCCGGATGGTTCCTTTAAGGGATCTATGAGGGTACCTTGAAGGGGTTCCTTTAAGGGTTCTAAAAGGTTTTAGGGTTTAGGGCTTAGGGCTTTAAATCCTGCATTACACATAATAAGGAATATACCATGATTCCCATAGTTTAGGGTCCTTAAGGTAATGCAGGATTTATACCATCAACAGAAGTACCTAATAGTCTTTTACTTTCCAGAGTACTGGTTCTGTAAGGGGTTTAGGGTACTGATGATATAAACCCTGCATTACCCAGAGTAAGGAGTATAGCATAATTCCCATGGTTTAGGGTCACTAAGGTAATGCAGGATTTATATCATCAGCCGTTCTTAAAAAGGGGAGGTCTCGAGGGATTTGGCACTTTAGCATTTGAGGGTTAGGGCTTTGGTGCTTAGGGTCTGCATCTTTGGATTGAGGGTTAGGGCTTTAGGTTTAGGGTCTAGTACCATCATGTCAATTCCACCACGGAGCAGGATTCACGAGTGGGATCTCGTTGGTCGGTTGGTCCTCTGGCCCGCTCCCAGCCCCCCGGACCCCCCTTCCTCCGAGCAGAAGCACCCAGGGGCAGACATGAAAAACTTCAGTGCGCATCCCCCAATTAGCCCCCTCAAGATCATCTACCTGCGAGTAGTTGTTTTGTTGGCCCGAAGCTGCTAATCAGCAGCAATCCAAAACCCGTCATCGCTTTTCTCTAATCTTGGGATATTGGGCTTGAGCGTTTAGGTGTAGTTAAGTTCTGCTGTCCTGCACCCAGTCTTGACGACAAGACCAGAGGGTAGGTGTGGTCTGAACCCCCAGCGATGGCTGGGCATGACATACAGCTGATTGTCGGCCTAAACCTGAAACCGACAAACCCCAAACCCCTACGACCTTTGTAATTAGCGCCCTTGTCTGCAATCCTTGTCAAGGATTGCAGGTTTAGGGTTTGGGGAAGATGGTCACTTGATTCTTTGCGAATCATTAAATTCCCCCCCCCCCCCCCCCCCCCGGCAAGCGCCGAAAGCCGCAGGCAGCACCTTGGAGGATCAGGAGCGTCACTTGCTGGTCAAGGTGGGGGCTTTCGGGCTTTGGGCTTCGTGATATAGAAGGGTTTATGATCTAAGGGCTGTAGTGCATGAGCCGGGGCTTCCTATCATGACTTCGACAGTTGTAATCGTCTGTGTCCTGCCTACTTTTGTAATTTCTTCCTCGTGTTAGGATTTGTTTAGTCAGAGGTTTGGGGTACGTTCATGTCTTCTCTGTCGAGAGTGTCTTGCTCTCACGGGTATCATACGGTATTTCCCAGGACAAGTTTTGATCATGTTCACAACATTTGGGAGGGCAGCTATGTGTTCTTGCAGTCCATAAAGCTCCGGAACCGCAGTGTGGGTGTAATGCAGTCTCAGCCTTAATGTGTTGGCAGCAGGATTCCCCTTTTGGTAGCTCATGCTTTGTTTGTACCTACATTTAGCCCACCCTGACTGAGGCCCTCGTATGCTAAACCGTGCATCCCGAGCCCTAAACCCTTAAGCCCCTGTCCCGACCTCGATGGATTCAGAGATTCGGGCTTGCAGCTTTAGGATGCTGTTAGGATCTATGAGGCCTGAAGCCTACAGGGCTCAGAATCTGTCCCTGGCCTAGCCTCGGAGCTAGAACACAGGGGTCCGAACAATTACTGACTTGTAGCAATACTACGATCTCACGGCTCCGTAGAACCATGACAGCCATCTGTATTTCGAAGTCTAGTGTTCATAGGTAGATAGGCAAGTTGACGGTGAGGTCATCGACCGCGTGCTTTACAAGCTGGACGACATGGTCTCTAGCCCAGCCGTAGTGGGTTATCCTGCCACAGTGGGTTATCATCACTGCCGAGAGTGAATCTCTCACACACACACACACACGCACACAAGGTCATCACCGTCGTCAAATCTAATACTTAGACTAACGACTGCGAAGCTCATTGTGCAAGTAGGTTCCATCCATCCATCCATCCATCCATCCATCCCCCCATCCCTCCATCCCTCCATCCCTCCATCCATTCATCCATCCATCTATCCACCCACCCACCCACCCAACCATCCATCCACCAGCCGCCGCTTCTGAAATCCTGGGAAACACAAAGATTGGTGTAGCTCTTTCATAATCCTCACATGCATGCAGCATTTCTCCAAGCCTTATGCTCAGGAGAACTAGACCGCAAGAAGACCTCACAGCGCACAATAGAGCGTTGATAGTACACGGACCACCCGTGTGTCTGCAAGGTCTCTTTGAGATCGTGTTTTATTTCAGATTGCTTCTGGGGGATCGAGAGGTTACCATAGGGGCTTCAGTAGTTACCTATACTATTTGGGGGGTTCCATTATTATGATTGTAGTATACTGGGACCCAAAGCCTTATTCTAATTATTATGGCCCCTATATTTTTGGGTTTTGGGCCGGCAGTTTACAGGTCCGGCACTTCTGGTCTCGTAAGCGAACCGATTAACCTTGCGAGGTCCATATCTGGGGGACCCTACTCTGAGAATTGGTATGTTTCGGGCTACTTGTAGTCGGTCCTACCATCGGCGGCCTAAAGCGTACCATGTGAAAGCCTTGTCGCACAAATCTCTAAAAACCCTAAACCCTAAACCCCTAAACCCCTAAACCCCAAGTCTCCCATCCTCACCCTGAGGCCCGCAACGATCTTAAACCCCAAAAGCCTTGGCAGTGCCAAAGGGTTTAGGGTTTTAGGGTTTAGGGTTTTAGGGTTTAGGGTTTAGGGTCAAAGCTCTCCAGGTAGGTGCGGCCCCCCCCTGAACCCAAGAGCATAAAGCCCAAACCCTGAATCCAAAGCACCTAAGCCCTGGACTCGCAAAGGTGCGGCCCTATGTCCACAAGATCTTGGTGGTCATTGAGCCCTTGCTCATCGATGAGGACTATTTCGCACGAGTCGAGGGGCGTGGGCCTTTGGGGACCCCTGCTTCAGGTTACCCAGAGACTCCAATAATTATCCCTTAGTTAAGGAATATACCTTAAACGATAAGAGGATCCCTAATATGATTTAAGGAATATATTCCTGAATTAAGGGATATTGGAGTCTCTGGGTAAGAGTAACGTAGGAGGCGTAACGACAAGCAAGATCAGGATCTCTAGGCTCTCTCAGGCTTTCCCATGGAATTTTTCAGCGTCATTACGGAGTTGAAATGGAGCTTTGTTACAAAAGCGGCCATACGGGTATGGAAAAGAAAGTTTCGGGGTAAAGTACTGTTTAACTATGAAGGCGACATAAGTAAGGGGATAGTAGTGTTACTCATTCAGACCCATGTCGTACTTTGTCGTACTTTGGGTTCTGGGTGCTCGTGACAATCCTCCCGAAACACTCGAACACTCCGTTGCTTTGGGCTTGAAGTGGAGGTTTCGCCTTCAGCGTATGTCCTGGCTTGAGGTGTTTGGGCAATTAGAAATTGGCTTTTAAAAGAGATTTCGTGCGATCGGAACGCGATCGGAACGGTTTGAATAGTTTACGTCTCTGCTTTCGTGGGTGGCTGCCTGATGCCCCCGCTTCATTCAGTGTTGCATGCCGTTGTGGAGTGTACCTGCATGTAGATCTTCCCAGCCTTCCCAAGCGGTCCTAGGCACTGTTATGGAGAATACCTCCCCAAATCATAATAGTAGTTCTAAGTATAGAAATTCTACATGTACTTTGGACCCTTTAACTCTTAACCCGTCAACACCCTTATAGGTACTTTGGATCCTTTGGGCTTGTGTTGTCATCCTAAACCCTAGACCCTAATGAGCTGGAAACCTCGAGGCGAGAGATCATCAGCAACCTGGCCAAGGCTGCAGGCCTTGGCTAAATATACGTACGGTGTAGGGTTTGGGGCGCAGGGTTTAGGAGTTTAGCAGCTTGGCATGTAGGAGTTTAGGAGTTTGAGGTTAAGGAGTTTAGGGTTTGGGGTTTAGGGTCTAGGAGTTTAGGGTGTAGAGGCCGGCCCAGGAAGCTGGGTTGGTAGAAGTGATCTTTCATTTGCCTCATGTCCAGTTTCCCTACTTGAAGGATCATGGGACTTAGTAAGTATGGTTATAAGTACCGTAATTGGGGTTATAAGTAACTATATGTGTAGTTACCCTGGTATTAACCCCAGTTACTAAGTCCCATGATCCTCCAAGTAGGCCTCATTGTGGTCCCCAAGATCTTCGAATCGATTGAAAATTGAGGTTCGGATGCCCCATCCCTCGAAAGAACTTTTGAGGAGCATGCCGTGCATTTCAACCCTGTCCTAGGTCCCGGCAGGGGCTACAAACACCAGGCAGCCCATCCCATCGCCGCGTGCCGCAAGACCATCCGAACCTCAAAATCCTGCTCTCTTGGTCCAAATCAGACTACAAAGCCTTGCACCCTAAATCGCAAGCTCTGAGGCCAGTGCCGGATGTGCACCGTCGTCCGGCATGGGCAGATAGTTAAAGTCAGAAAGAGCTTTGGGGTGAAGATGGGTGCAGGTTAGGGGTGCTCTGCGGGGTATTTTTCTTTTACATACAGCAACAGTCGCTTCTACCAAGGCAGGGTTAGGTCCTTGAGATAGATAGTATATAAGAATTTACCTATCACGTCTCCGAATCAACCAGCTCGGAACCAGGTTCCACTCTCATGCTGGGGCTCAGGGTTAGGGGCAAGCCAAAAAGATCGCTGTAGGACCGTTACATCTTGCAGGAACCTGTATAGAACCCTTAGAGGACTCGGCAAAGGGATGCTTCAAACAATCCCTTCGGAACCCTTACGGGAACTCTTGTAGAATTTGTTTTGAACAAACTGGAAACTTGAAGGAAGCCTGAACATGCACTGGCCATTTTCGACCTTGCAAGGACCGAACCCCGAAACAACCGGGAACCCTAACCCGCGAACTCCAACTCAGCATGGCCACCCTCGGCTTTTTCTCAGCTGCGGAGGGGACGTCCGATTTCATGCTGAAAAGTCCTGAAGCCTTAAGACTTAGAGGGTCCATGTACTTCTTTAGTTTTTACTATGACCTTGCAGTAGTCCCTAGATGGGTAATTACTTTAGGGCCAAAGCATCTACTAAATTAGCCATTGGACCCTCTGGGAAGCCTCAAAGAAGGCCTTGAACCTTACACCCGGAACCCCAAACCTGAGGCTAATCCTTAAACCCTAAACCCTACCCAGAGAGCCCAATACCCCTTAGTTATGAGGAATATAGCTTAAACTATAAGGGGCTTCGTATTAGGATTTAAGCTATATTCCTTAAGGAAGGGGTATTGGGCTCTCTGGGTAATTCGTAGGAAGGCCTCAGCGAAGCCCTACGCACTTTGCTCTGAGCCCGAAACCCTTAAATCTTTAAGGAAGCCTCGGAGAAGCCGAGCAATCCTTCCCTAATAGGCCCTAAACTCTAAACGCTAAACCCTACAGGCATTACACCTAAACCCTGAAACCTTTGAGGAAGCCTCGGAGAAGCGTTTTCGGCCTGTGTTCGAGCAATCCTGAAAACCTCAACCCTATAGCCCTTAAGGGAGCCTCAGAGAAGCCCCAGACACTGACCCCTGAACCCTCACTCTCACCCTTTACCCTAAACCCTAGGGAAGCCAGAGAGCTCAATACCCCTCAATTGAGGAATATAGCTTCAATTATAAGGTGCTTTAGGGTGTAGGGGTCAGGGTTTAGGGTGTAGGGTTCGGGGTTTAGGGTTCAGGGGTTTAGGGTTTGGGGTTCAGGGTTTGGGTTTACGGGTTTAGGGTTTAGGGTGATTCGTTTTATGATTTAAGCTATATTCCTTAATTGAGGGGTCTTGGGCTCTCTGGGTAAACCCTGAGCCCTAAAGCCTCAGAACCCTAAACCCTATAGATCCCTTATAGGATCCCTTAAAGGAGCCCTAACCCTAACTATTCCTTAAGGGCTCTCTGGGAAGCCTCCTACACCCTAAACCCTTAACCCTAAACCCTTACTTAAAGGAACCCTAAACCCTAAACCGTTAGAGGAACCCCAAGCCCCTTCAGGATCCCGAAAGGGCTCCTTCAAGCCTCTCCGCGCCATGGCCATGCTCGACCTCGAGTCGCTCGTCGCCGAGGCGTCGCGAAGCTGCGCGAAGCTCGCGGCTGGCCTGCCTAGGTCTTAGGGCTTTTTTAGGGTTTAGGGTTTAGGTAGGTCTTGATAGGGTCTTAGGGTTTAGGGGTTTAGGGTTTAGGGGTTTAGGGTTTAGGGGTTTTAGGGTTTAGGGTTTGGGGTTTAGGTAGGTCTTAGTAATAAGGTCTTAGGGTTTAGGGGTTTAGGGGTTTAGGGTTTAGAGGTTTAGGGTTTAGGGGTTTAGAGTTTAGGGGTTTTAGGGTTTAGGGTTTAGGTAGGTCTTGATAGGGTCTTAGGGTTTAGGGGTTTAGGGTTTAGGGGTTTAGGGTTTAGGGGTTTTAGGGTTTAGGGGTTTTAGGGTTTAGGGTTTAGGTTTTAGGTTGGGTTTTGGGGTTTAGGGTTTCAGGAGTTTAGGGCTTTTGAGCGTTTTGGGAATTAGGGGTTTAGCGTGTAGGGTTTAGGGTGTGGTTGAATGTTCAGGACCAGGGGCTATGTTTGTAGGTCCAACTTCCATCAACCCACTTCTGTTTGCTCGCTCAAAATCCAACATTAACGAAATATGTTTGAATAGCAGTGTTGCCGTGGCTGCGGGTGTGATCGGGTAGTGCTTATGACGGGTGATGGCATGGATTCACTCGACATGGATTTGCTGATGGCTCATAACCCTATATACTATATATATATATATATATCAAGACTAGTCGTTTAAGTTGTGGATGTTGTCTTTTGACTTCATAAGCTCGTAACACGAAAGCACTGCGGGCGAGCAGTGGAGGTGAAGCTAGGCTTAGAGTTTAGGCCCTAGGGTCCAGGGTTTATGGTTGTGAGTTCGGCTATCTGGATTGGGGCTTTGGGTTCATGGACAATGTAGGAACCTGATTAAGAAGCCCTGGGCCTATAACCCCAAAATAGTAGGATTCATATATGGAACCCTAATACAGGCCCAAGGTTTCTTAATCAGGTTCCTTATCCACTCCCAACCCCACATGCCGAAACTTTGATAGAATACTAACCCCTCTTGAAGAACAGCTATGCTAATAAAGGCACAAGGTTTCGTAATCAGGTTCCTACAGTAGGCTTGGATAGAGATTAACCATGTTGAGGTTCCCGGGCCGCCCACTAGCCCGTATGGTTGCCCTAGAAACCCTAAACCCTCAGCCCTAAACCTTGAACCCTAAACCGTAAACCCTAAGCCCTACACCCTAAACCCTAACAACCATGATTTCCCAAACCAGTGCGGCCCTTAATCATTGGAAGGTCCGACTGAAACCATGGGGATTTTGGGGCGCCGGTTTTTGCCGTTTCCTACGCCTCGCATAGAGTTTTCTTTTACGTAGAGACTTAGTTGGGGTGCTTGGGGTTCACGGGTAGTTATAAGTAGGTTTATAAGTCGGAAAACTATAGTTATAACCCATACTAGGGGACTTATAACCCCACTTACAACCACCCATGAACCTCCAAGTGGGACGCTACATA